ACACACTTCTTAATAAGTAGTTACTGAATTAAAAAAATTAACTAGCTAATACTAACAATAACATTTCCCTGAGTGTGAGCAAAGAGAACTAAAATAACAAACACCATAATGGCAAACAAACAAACAAAACCAGCATAGGTGAAATTGAATAATTGGTTTGTATGAGAGCCCAATTTTCCCTTCTATAGCAGTTGTTAACCATTTTGATTATCACGCTACTGTTTTATTTTACCCCATGTCTTTGTGATCCTTTGAAAACATGTTCAGAAAAAAACAAATTCCAGTTTTATTATTTAGTGCTTCCTTTGGACCATACTGAACTAGAATCTTGCAATAAGAGGCCTTGTGCCAGGTATGGTGGTACGAGCCTGTAATCCCAGACACTCAGGAGGCTGACACAGGGGATCCAGAGTTCAAAGCCAGCCTCAGCAAGAGTAAGATGCTAAGCAATTCAGTGAGATTCTGTCTCTAAATACAAAATAGGGCTGGGAATGTGGCTCAGTGGTCCAGTGCCCCCGAGTTCAATCCCCGGTACCACCCCTCAAAAAAGAGGCCTCGCATCTAAATTCAAATCCAACAGGATGATCACAATTGTTTTTCACATGAGACTTTTTGATCCAGAAATTTTCTACCCTTAACATGTAATTACAAATGTGAGCTTACAAATGTATGGCTATTAAAATTTGTGGAAGGCACTATATAAGAAATAAAACAAATGGGAATTTCTTTTTGAACTTTTAAAATTCACTTCATAACAAGTGAATGGTTAAGGGTGAAATTATTTTTAGGATATAATTTCAAATATAATTTTAGGATATATTTGAAATTATACCTCTTCTGTATTTGAGGTGCTTAGAATTTTTTTGCTGGAAAACAAGATAAGATTTCAAACTTTTTTAATTGAGAAGGATGTCAGGATTAACAATTAAACTGATGGCCAGTGAGTGATAGATTTAGATTCAAACAATCATGAAGGCAATATATCTTTTTTATTATGAAATAGATCAAGTATTACATAAATAGATCAAGTTCATAAATGTAGGGGATATAGTAAATACATGTGTACTTACCATTAAGCAGTGTCAAATCTAAAGATTTTGTGATATTTGCTGTAGCTCTTTATTTTTTTAGAAACAGCTTTTCAGGTTTCAGGGAAGTCCCTTTCCATCCCCCATTCCAGAGGTAACCACTCTAAACTTGGTTATTATCTCTAACCATGTTTTATACCTCATGTTCATTTGTATGAGGTACATGGTACCTCATATAATCTTACATGTTAAAAATCTTTATATAAAGTTTATGAATATTCAAGATGTGTGAAATATTCCCTTAAAGTTTGGGGGGATCAAAATGATAACCACAGGGATTATTTTAGGATTATGGATGATTTTTCCAGTCTTTGTAACCTTTTATTTTTCCAATGTCCCTTTTTCTTTTGGTACTGGGGATTGAACCCAGAGGTGCTTTACCACTATGCTACAAACCCAACACCTTTTTATACTTTGTTTTAAAGCAGTATATTACAAACAAACCTACTGTTGTCTTCCAGAAGCTTTGTAGAAAACAAAGAGCACATTTAGTAGAAAATTAATTAAAGGCTGACGGTTTAAAGAAATTGGGAAGAAGTTGATAAACAGATAAAATTAAACCTTTTAGGAAATAGCACAGTTAAAATTTTCACTTAAGAAAAAGTCAAGTTACTAAGAATTATGATAATGTTGTGGTTAATACTTTCAGAAGACTTCCTCTTTATTTATCAAGTTTTTTTTTTTTTTTGGGTGGGGGTAGTGGGGACCAGTTATCTGCATCCTTTATTATCAGTATACTCTATTGAGCATACCATAAAAATCCCTAGAGGGTGAATGGAAAGGCATCAGTGACAAAAGCACCTTAGTTTTTCCCCAATATTAAACACTTGAAACAATAAGTTAATGGAAGTGGAATAAAAGTTCCCCAGCACCACCAAGAAGGAGGGAAGAGTCAAACTTACTAACTTCCATTTTTCAAGGAATAAATAAAATTCATTTTAGGGATCTCAAATTCACCTTCCATCAGGGACTAGGTATTTGTTACTTTACATAGTGCAAATTTTAAAAATAATTTTGTTTTAAATGAGCCTGTGGGAGTGAATTTGGCATGTAGATTACTAACTCATGACCTCTGATATTTTAAATTACTTTTAGAGATAGAATTCATATTAGAAAATGCACCCCTTTCAAGTAAAGTCAGTGGTTTTTAGTAAATTCACAAAATTTGGCACCCTTCACATCTAATTCCAGATAATTTTTATCACCCCGCCAAAGAAACCCCATATACAGTCTGTAAGTTCCCATTTTTCCTTCCTTGCCCCTGGCAATCACTAAACTTTCAGTCTCTATGGATTTATATATTCTGAACATTTTATATAAAAGGAATCATACAATATGTAGTGTTTTGTGTATGGGTTCTTTCATTTTGCATAATATTTTCAAGGCTCATCCATCTTTTCAAGACAACAGTACTTTATTCATTTCTATGGCTGAATAACATTTACTATATGGATATACAACTTTTGTTTATTAACCCATCAATGGATATTTGGGTTGTTTCCTCTTTTGGCTATTACGAATAATGCTATAATTATTCATGTGCAATGACTTCTGAATTTAAGTTCAAATTTTAGTTTTATAAATAGTGGATATATTAAACATGATTCAATAGTATACATACTAACACTTAAGATAGTTCAAATATATAGTGATAGTAAGATGGTTCAAATATATAGTGAAAGTTCTTCCCATCCTTGTCTCCCAAATGTCCAATTTTCATTCCCTCCATTCTGTCCCAGAAGATGAACACTATTTTTATTTTTTATTTAGGTAGCTGGGATTGAATACAGGGGCACTTGATCACTGAGCCATATTCCCAGCCCTATTTTAGAGACAGGGTCTCACTGAGTTGTTTAGTGCCTCTCCATTACTGAAGCTGGCTTTGACTTGTTCCTCCAGCCTCACCCTCCCAAGCCCCTGGAATTACAGGTGTGTACGCCACTGTGCCCAGAACCCCATTAATCATTTATGTATTCCTGAAAGCAAGATAATTTATTTGTGCTGGGGTTGTAGCTCTGTGGTAGAGTGCTTGCCTTGCAAGTGGAAGGCGCTGGGTTTGATCCTCAGCACCACATAAATATAAAAGTATCGTGTCCATCTACAACTTAAATAAATTAATTTATTTATTGGAGGAGGGGTGCTGGGGATGGAATCCAGGACCCCATGCATGCTAGGTAACACTCCCAGGCTTTTTTCTTTTTAATAGAAATGTGCTTCTCAGTACCTTGATTTTTCACTTATCTTGAATGTTTCTATTTATTTTTAGACAGTATCTTCATTCTCTTCTACACATTTCTCTTGAGCAGCTATACCACAGTTTATCTACTCTCCTTTTTATGATTACTCTGGTGATCTAAATATTTGCTTTTTACAAAATTCACTTGTCAACTAGTCATACAATAATAAACAACCAATGAGATAAATACTATGAGATTTAATAATGAGAAATAAAAGAACTGCCATCCTCTTAATTGTTATGTCATTAGGTAAAACTGAAACTGAAAAATCGGTAATCAAAGATATTAGCCTAGTTAAGTTTTGTATGGTGAGGGAGCAACCCAGGGCCTTACACATAAGCAATTTGTTTTTAAACTACTTCTCCTTCTCAGAATATTTTTATAGTCCTCAAATTTAATTTAATGGGTCATTTTCATTAAATCCGACACAGGGAAATCTAAGAGGTTTTTTCCTATAGGAAAAACTTAAGATACAAACTAAGAAGTACAGACAATGTAGCAACCAAACTGCTTTCTCATTTTTCTAATTGCTTACTATGCGAACATATTAAGATACTTGTTAAGTTGCAAGAACAAGGGATCAACTAAACTTCAACATTTAAATATTAGTTAAAACAAGCTATTAAACAGTTTGTTAAAAATAATTTTTGTCACAATAGGCAGCAGGGGAGAGAGGAGTGGAGGTTCGCCAGATTGGACAGGAGGGAGTGGGGGGAAAGGAGGAAGGAAGGAAAGATAGGAATGCGAAAGACCGCAGAATGATTAGGACACAACATTCCTATGTTCACATATGAATACATGACCAATGTAACTCCATATCATGCCCAACCACAAAAATGTGAAGTTATACTCCATGTATATCAAAATACATTCTACTGGGCTGGGGTTGTGGCTCAGTGGTGCAGCACTTGCCTGGCACCTGTGAGGCACTGGGTTCTATCCTCAGCACCACATAAAAATAAATAAAATGGAGGTATTGTGTCCATGTACAACTAAAAATTTTTTTTAAAACATTCTACTGTAAATGTATGACTAAAAAGAATAAAAATATTTTTTACATCTATTACTATTATGTAAACATGGGATAAATGTTCCTACCTTATTGTTAATGTCATTAGTTTTTATGCTATGACAATTTTTATTGGGTGGTTTTTCTGAAATAGCTTCTACTCTTCATTTTGCACAAGGCTACAGTATACCAATAAACATTCCAAAGTATTGGGCTTTGAACACTTCAAAAATGCATGAAAAACTCTAAGATATCATCACAGAAGAAAAGATGCATTATTTATTTTACTGATTAGTTGGAGAACAAAAGACTGAGGTGTTGGCTATCGAGTTAAGAGAACAATGGTACACTAGACTCCACTGACTAACCCAGGTAGAGAGAGGCTGGAAATGCTGAGATGGAACATTTTAGTCTGTTCTAATAGACTGATTAAGGTGTTCATCATTCCAGAAACTATTTCTTCGGCTGTTGTTTAATTCTTCCGAGTATGCCTGATCAAGTGCTAACAGCTGAGTTTCAAGTTTGCTGAAACATCTTTGTTAATTTAACTTGATCTAAATGAGAAATGCAAGTAAGAATGAGGGGTCGATTTATTTTGTGAAAATTTATCATTAAATATCAATGTGTACAATTCAAACATTTACAAATCTTGCAATCTGTAGAAAAATTAATGTAATATTAAGATTATCTGAACAGTGATTTGCACCATTATTTACAATTATCTCAACCTACCTTTGTAGAAAGGTAATTATGTTTAAAAGTATCCCTGCCAAAAAGTGATAATTTCACAGTACCTTTCTTTAGTATTTGTGTCACTTAAATGCCAGCTGCATCAATAAAACCCAGCAGATTTAATAATTTAGAAACAGCACAATCAGAACAGTAAATACAAACTATGATTAATTCCAAACAAAACCTCTTTTATCAACATATAAATATTTTCCCATTTGACACTGATAGAAGAAAAGAATTAGGAGGCAATATTTTCTTGTTTACTACAAAAAATAATTTTAAAAATGAATGTTAAGGAACTAGGTGAATTCTTATATAATACTAAATATTTTGAGAAATAATTAGTTTCACTGGAAGGCATTTCTAATGGTAAACCTTTTTTCATTTGTAATATGACAATGAGCATTGATAATTCTCTAGCATCTCCAGATTGAAAGAGATTGTCTTTATTCCTACATTTTCCTTTTGTTTTTAAAATCTGACATTCCCTCAATCCCTCAAAAGAATCCCAAATATATAAAAGATTAATTGAAACAAAAAATAATTTTATTTTGATTAACGCTTGTGTTTGAGAACAATGTTTACTGTAATATTCCATAGTTTTCTTTTTAAAAGATATATCCAGCTAGACAATTAAATAAAAAGGTAAAGTATAAGAAATATAGCTGAAATCATAATAAAGTACATTTTCTTTTATTGACATAGGAGATATACTTAAATTTTAAATATTGGCTCTTTAAGAAAAATTTCTCTTGGTTAAATAATATGCATAACCGTTGCCCAAACATGTATACAGCTGTTTCCCCCAAACTATTTATATACATAGTAGTCCACTTAAAACCAGCCATGTTAACCTACTAAATACAATGTGCTCCTAAATTTATAAATGGGCTACCAGTAGTATATAAAATATATAGGCATGTATGTTATACATATAAAGTAAAAAAATATAAAAAGGAAAGATGGAAGAAATAAGAAAAAGAAAACATCCTTTCCTATAAGATCCAGACAAAAAGTCACTCTAATTAGTCAGACAATGTAAAATACTGAAGCATTTCAGTTTTGGCAAATACTTTTCAGAAAAATATCCAAACTATGAGATACTAAATTGTCGTCTTAATAATTTTAGTAGAATTTTACATTTAAACATTCAATGAAGATGTGGTTTTCTAATATATAGAAAAGAAAACTTTTGGCAAACCAAAAAAATCACTCTTTTTAACAGGTTAGTATTAACCCCTTAATCAGGCATGTAAGGTGCAGATAATCAAAATCCTGGTCCGTTAGAATCTGAATATGTTTGATGAAAGACTCCAATGGATAGGATCTGAATTCTTCCTAAATCTTAGAGGGAATGGGGCAGGATGTTATGACAATGGAGGGGGTCAGCCCCAAATGTAGCTGGCCCAACCTTAACTGTCAGTGTTAAAAAACACACCAAATATTTCTGTAGCATTCTTTCTGTGGCATTTTCTTTACCTCAAGCCACAGGTCTACTTGGAGGATCATGCAGCAAGTGGCTTATAAATAAAATCAGAGTCTATGAATAGTGTCATCACATTAAGAGACAGAATTGCTGGATTCTCTCATTACATAAAAAGCTTGCATCTTGGGAATCCATGAGTTGGTATTATTTATGGGATACCTAAAATAGGGGACAAAAACCATATAAATCAATAAGACATACATGCAATTCAGGAGTAAAAGCAATGAAGACTATTCAATCATTTATTGAGCTAGAAATTCAATGATTTCAAAATAATGCCTTCTAGTTAAAATGCAACAAATGTAACTAAGCCTATTCCAAAATTGGCAAATACAACTACTGTTGCTAGTTGTTTACAAGGCAAACAATTCCACTATTCTTGAATTTTGGTATATGTCACAAAAAGAACCTAAAGATGGTGACAATATGCATTCTAGAAGCCTACCAATTTTAATACAATGTGTCCTTTAGTTTACAGATAGGCTACATGTCTCAATTTCAGAGACCATGCCTTATCACACTGTCAGAGTACCAAAAGAAAAATACCAACACCATTACCACCGCCACCGCGCCCCCCCCCAAAAAAAAAAAATCAATGAAAACTGTCAGCTGCAATGTTTTTTTTTTTTTTTTTTCCTTCCTTTCCATACCATCATTATGCATCTCAAAATACTCGGGATAATGAAAAGTAACAGAACAGTTTCTAAAAGTGTATGTTTATATTTCTCTATAAATTTAAATTACAGTTCTCATTGCAACATTTAGAGTCTTCCACTAAACATTCCCGAGAAGCAGAAAGAGAACAGACATTTGCTAATTCCATATAGATTTATGTATACAGAATCCCTTAGCACATTAGCACTAATACCAGGATACTGTTAGTACACAAGCGATGATTTGGAAAAAAAAATTATCTTGAGTATACTTGAATATGAAATCTAGTTTTAAATTCTCATGCAAGTAACTCAAATTTTTCATTAAAAGATAATCTAATGTTCTGATATGTAATTTTCATTTCATAACACATAGCACTAAACTGATGATGCCAAGCAAAATAAATACTTCTCAAATTTCTACAAACAGATGTTTCTCCCACATTAATATGTTTAAAATTTGCATTTTAAATCCAGGTCATCATCATATTAACGAAGAGAGATAATTTAACTCTTTCTGTAATCATTATGATTTTATAAAATGTTTTACTTTCATGGAAGCACATAAATAAGAAGCAAGTTGTTTCCATTTAAGCCAGTAATTTGAAGAAAAACTGAGCTATCATCAGGAGCAACTTCCAAAATGACTACTATTTAAATAAACACAGATTATGTTTTGCATTTCATAATATGCTGAGACATTTTACTTTACAAGAATATTCAGTAGCTGTTAATATGCAAAAATAATTCAGTTTTTGTTTAATCTCCAATTTACATAATAAATTTAAAAATTTCAGCTCACCAAATATATTCTTTTAACTAAAATAGAAGTGACTACAAATCTTCTCTGATTTTAGAGTTTTATAAGAACTCTACTAACATGCTCTGGCTTAGAATCTTGCCAGAAATGAACTATCAAGTCTTGTTTAGCAAATTTTCAAAAGTATGAAAAACAATTTATATACTTAATTAATGTCAAAATTACACTTTAACTTTCATCAGTCACTCTGAAAATCCTTTCATTTAAACATTAACATTTGTACTCTTCCACTTTAACTTATTGATGTAGCTGACAGCAGAATGTAGCCCCTGAAAGAAACTATATACTAAAAATAAAAGTTTAAGCAAAGTCACAGTCCTCCTTAATTCCAATTGTTCCAAAAGATTAATTGATATAATTATATCTTTCATTGATTTTCCAGGTTCCTAAACACAGAAAGAATGAAAAACACTGAAAACTTTCTGCTGAATTATACATAAACACATTAAAGCTAACTAATAACAATTGTCTAATTTAAAGAGTAACTAACCTGAGATGTACCTTGCTCCGATTAACATTACCATGCTACTCACTATAAAAATGCCCAAGGGCAGACTACAGAAGATACTAGGGTCACCTGTGGTCATCCAAGTAGAAGGGAATTCCAGTCAAGCAAACCAAAAGAGAGACACATAATTACAATATTTATGTTAAGAATCACATGATAGCAAAACAAAATAAGTTATAAAAATAGCATATTCATAAAAGCTAGCAAAGAGTTATTACTTTAAATCAAAAATATAATCAATATCAAAGGCTTATGACAGATAACAAACAATACAGAGACCATGCCACAAGTAGCCAAGAACATAATACATATAGACCAACATTAGCCTTCCACTGGCAAAGCCAAAGAGAGCCTATGGAGAACTTTTTGGGAGGCTGATGAGTTTTGGGGTTTTCTCCCCCAAAGATACTAAATAAGCATATTCACTCAAAGTTCAAATTATACATCCTTTGGCTGTCAGAGAAGAGTTATATTAGTCTATTAAAAATGAATTCCAAATCCCTTCTTTGCTAAAACATTGATTCTGTTTCATTTTTTAAATAGATGTTGATGTGTAAGGAAATGTACCTGTAATATATTAATCTACATTTTAAAATTACCCAAGAACAACTATTTTGGTATTTTCTAATCTGACATCTATTGGAATCCCTTTTTTAAAGAACATTCCTTATATATACCCATTTTTTAAATTTAAATATTATATATTTAGGGCTGGGGTTGTTACACAGTGGTAGAGCACTTGCCTAGCATGTGTGAGGCACTGGATTCGATTCTCAGCACCACATATAAATAAGTAAAGGTCCACTGACAACGAAAAAAATATTTTCTAAAAAAGTAAAAAAAAAAAGGGGGGGGGGGGGGGTACTGGGGTTGTAGCTCAGTGGTAGAGCACTTGCCTAGCATGTGTGAGGCACTGGGCTTGATCCTAAGCACTACATAAAAGTAAATTAATTAAATAAAGGCATAAAAATACAATAATGGGCTGAGGCTATGGCTCAGTGGTAGCGCACTCGCCTGGCATGTGTGAGGCACTGGGTTTGAGTCTCAGCACTGCATATAAATACATAAATAAATAAATATCAACAACTAAAAAAAACTTTAAATACAATAACATTATTAAAATAAAGTTTAAAGAGATTATATATTTAGAATATATAGTACTTTTTTTTTTGGTGTTGGGTATTGAACCTAGGACTTCCAAGCTATATCTCTAACCCCTAGAATATTTAATAACTCTTTAAAGAAGAAGCTTATTAAAAAACAACGCCCAAGAGTTGAGGAAGCATAACCATTAGACAGGGGCTTCACTGAAATGTGGTTAAAGATTCTCTGTGAGTGTACTGTGTGATACAGTAAACTAATGACAGTAATTTCTTTGCTTTTCGAGGAAAGGATTTTTCCTCCCTCACCATGCATTTCTTTCCCTGTAGAGGTAATTTTTCATTAGAGGGACATTATCCATTTTCCCTACTTTGTCACTGTTTATGTTATTTTTGTTTTCAAATAAAATAGGGTTTTATTCCCTATTTATACTGACTGCTAAGGCTTGGATATGAGGTGTCCCCCAAAAGCTCTTGTGTTAATTTAGGAATGTCTGGAGGTGTGAAATGATTGGATTGTGAGATCAGTAACCTAATCAGTCCATCCTAGTTTGAATGGACTGTGTGGTACCTGTACCCACGAGGAAGTGTGGCTGGAGGAGGTGGGTCACTGGGGACATGCCCTGGAAACATGCATCTTCCCTGTGGCCCCTTGTGACTCTCTTTGCTTCCTAACTCAGCTGGGATCTGAGCAGCTTTCCTCTGCTGGGCCCTTCCTTCATGGTGTGCTACCTCACCTGGGGCCCAGAGCAATGGAGGATCAACCAAAGACTGAACCTCTGAAACCATGAGCTCAAAATAAATTTTTCCTGGGCTGGGGTTGTGGCTCTGTGGTAGAGTCCTTGCCTACCGTGTGTGAGGCACTGGGTTTAATTCTCAGCACCACATAAAAATAAATAAATAAAATAAAGGTACTGTGTCTATATACAACTAAAAAAATATTAAATAAAATAAATTATTCCTCGTCTAAGTGGTTCTTGTAGGATATTTTTGGTCACAGCAATGAAAGGCTGAATAAAACAGAGACCATATTTTAATTAGATTTTAGAAAAGGAAAATATATGTTCTGGTTCTCTTACAGCAAGTTATAAGATATGCTAAGGTACAACATCTGATTTTTGGATATTCCTACAGTGAATTCTATTTTGAAAAGATCTGAAGATTATCTATATTCAGGAGTTGCTATTTATTTATAATGTTAATGAAGCTATTTCTCTTTTGGTGGAATATATACATGTTTATATATTACATATATGCTTATATCACTCATATATGTATATATAGTGTTAATGAAACTATTTCTCATTAATTCCACCAAGAGAAATAACTTCATTAAAAATATCCCACCTAAGTTGATAGTAACTCTTGGATGCAGATAAGTCTAAGATTATCATATATATATATAACATATATATATTACATATTGATATATTATCATATATATAATATACATATTGATATATTATCATATATATATACCCACATGATGTTACATTATATACATATACTAGTAATATACAGATACATATTATGTAATATATAGTATATGTATATATAGTTATATATGTAATATGCTTTCTATTTGATATGTATAATATATATAAACCAATTTGACCTGCTTTCAAAATGCCATTATGGTGGGTTGGAGCCCAAACCAAGCCCAAACCTCTAATCACTTCTACATCTAAAACACATAACAAATGTATATTAATAATGCATTCACATATAGTTACAAGCAAAAAATAAATGACTGTTCTAATGTTGACAAAGTGCTTTGGAAATCAAGCAACCAATACTCTTCCCATAATTTAAAGCAATTCTAACATCCTTTCGAGTTTATTAAAATAGGGCCCTTTGTAATTCTATTATCACATAGCTCATTATATTATAATTATATAGCTTAAAAGAATATAATTAGCAATTTATTAATTAAATATTATTTGGAGCTTATTCATAAACAGCTTAGAAATACCCCACATATTAAATAATGTTTTTAGAACTTTGACCTTAAAGCTACTATTGTCTAGCTGAAACAAAAACAAAAGAAAATCTAAAACTCTCAAAAACTCAAATTACTTTTGTCATCAATGCTGATAAGCAGAACTGAAGAAATGTAATTTTTTGTTTGTTTTTACCAACTTTTTCTTAGCATTTTAAATTAATTGATAGGTACATAAACAATGGGAAAATAGGTACATAAAAATGGGAAAATTGATTTGGGGGGAATTCTGCAATTAAAAGTTATATCTTCAACTACCAATATAGAGAACTGTGAGAGTACAAGGTATGGCACACAAGGAGGAAGACAGGAAGATTGTGCTATTAACAAAAATTCACCTACTAAAAGAAATCTTGTAACCCAACTTCTCATTAATTCAGGACAATTAAAAAAGAAGTCAGGTACCACATCTATTACATTTCACATAACATATGTATATAATGTAACATCACATATAATACATACATCTCACATAACTAGCATTATGCTAGAAAAATACATATGACTAAGAAGTGTAATTGTAAAGGATCTCAAAATTGCAGTCTTGAAAGAGAGGCTTGGCTGTCATCTTGGAAAAGGCAGCTAAATCTGAGAACAAAAAGGATATCAAGCTCATTTTGGAGGAAAAAATGAAAGCTCCAAAAGTAGGAACATCAGGACTCAAAATACAGATCACACTCGGAGCTATGGTGATAGATTGTTCTAGAGGCTTGTCTTAAAAGCCAGATATTTTAAAAGTGGTTCTAGGGGGCTGGGGATGTGGCTCAAGTGGTAGCGCACTCGCCTGGCATATGTGGGGCGCTGGGTTCGATCCTCAGCACCACATAAAAATAAAGATGTTGTGTCCACCGAAAACTAAAAAATATTTTTAAAAAGTGGTTCTAGGGGGTAGCTCAGTGGTAGAGCACTTGCCTAGCATGCATGAGGCACTGGGTTCGATCCTCAGTGCCACATAAAAATAAAACAAAATAAAATAAAAGCATTTTGTCCATCTACAACTACAAAAATTGTTTTTAAAAAATTCAAAAGTGGTTCTATACTCACTTTGGGGGTTGTAAGGCAGGTAATATTTCATTTACAAATCTTCTCCATTAAAATATATTCCTAATCATATTATTGGCCATTGTTTTGTTCATTAAACTCTTGTATTTAGCAAAGAATTTAATTAAAGGCAGTTTGAGGCTGTTTAAATCTAAATGGTTTACTTGGGCTAAATATCTTCCTGCCTAAATGATTTGAAAAGTAAAGTCCTTAATTTTCTGCTAAAAGCCTATCTCAATCTGTTATAATACTTCTGATTTACAATGTTTGGTAGATTTCTTCCTGTTTCTAGAGTATTCCCATTGTATAAATTTCCTAAGTACTTCGAATCAGGATAGGAAGTAGTAGAATATATTCTGAAATTAAAATAGGTTTGACTGATTCAGTTCATAAAGATAGCCTCCCAAAAAGGTAAGATAAGACAAGAGAGAGGAAAGGGGAGGGAGAAAGAGAGAGGATTCTAGTTGATTTTTTGTTCATTAAGAATAAACTAGAAATAATTTTACTTTTGGAATATTTAATTATCAATTGAAGTGCCAGGAATAAACTTATAAGGAAAGATATGACAGAACAGAGTTAAAGAATTTACATTAACCTAATAATTTCCATTTTATGTTAAGAACTTTAAAGTGCTTTCAAAATATTAGAAACTTTGGACATATGATAATGCTTTTCTTCAGAACAGCCTGGCTAAGTAAGTGTGAATGGCCAGATACGTAGATAAATTGTTTAATATACTTAGAAAAGATAGAAATAATAAACAATGAAAATATTTTACCACTTTCCGGAGACTGAGTTGTAACCCAACCCATTGACTTCATCACAGCTTTCTTCCACGTAGAATAACGAATTTCACTTTCTAGAATTTGAAAGGAGGAAAAAGAAAACAGATATGAAAGGTAATTTGCAGAGGTGTTCTGTGTCATACTTATCACTCTGCATTTTACTATGATTATTTTTTGTACTGAGGATTGAACCCAAAGGTGCTCTATCACAGAACTACATTCCTACCCCTTTTTTGAGACAGGTCTCACTGAGTTGCTGAGGATGCTTTTGAACTTGTGGTCCTCCTGCCCCAGCCTCCTGAGTTGCTGGTATTACAGGTATGTGCTACTGTGCCTGGCATCACTTTGTATTCTTGACATTGTTGTATACATTACACTAAAGTGAGGACTCAGATTTGGGAGCACATGGTTGTAGGCTAATGGGCGGTGACAAAAAGAGACATCTGCTTAGATGTTATAGAGTGTTGTAGAGAAAGAAGCATGATGGGAAATTCAGCATGGGACCGCAGGATGAAGGGAGATTGGGAGACAGACTACCTGCTATGAAGACAGGGCTATTCAGAAATAAGTGGTGGTCAATTTGAAAACGGAATCCCATTTCCCATTTGATTTCTCTTTCTCTCCCCCTCCCCCTCCTCCCCTCTCCAGGAAGAGGGGACTAATGTGAGGAGAAGGGTTTAGTATGATGTGGAAAAACTAGAATTGCTTTTGGTCCAGTTAAAGGATTTAGCAAATACTGATTTCTCACAAGATTCAAAGTGAATTCCTGTGAGGCTCCCCTGACACCTGTAAGCAAGATCTCTTAAGGTGAAAATCTACAACAGGAGGACTAAACAAAAAAATGAACATTGACGCTATACTCTAAAGTCTACCAAATCATGTGTAAGACTAGCCTTCTGTCAAGCCTCCCCAGCCTTTCCACAGCTCCTGAAACCTGAAACTCCCAGGAGATAAGGCTCAAAGATCACTTGCTTCAGAAAGTTTTCCAATGTCCCACTTGTAACCCCATCCCCACCCTTGCCTTCTCACATCCCTTAAGATGTTGGTTACCAAGTGAATTTTTATGGTTTGGTCTACCTCTCCCAGTTTATGTAAGTCTCCTGAGGGGAAAGGATTTGGTCTTTTACATCTTTGTAGCCTCATGAAAGTAACAATCTCTGACATGCAGTTGGCTCTAAATAACTGTTAGCTGAAAGGATGAAGTAGGTGCCTATTAGTATGTGGGGGACAGTGGGAAGCAATCAGTGAAAGGGAGGAAAGCTGGCAGAACTGATCAACTCCAGGATAAGGCCTTAAATGATGGCAAAGATGGCTCACCTAAGGAAACAATAATCTTATCCCCTTTGCTCAAAACTTCCTTGATTTAAAAGTTGGATAAGCATTTAGAGGCCACATACATGTTCTGAATATAATCTGCCTATTAAGTTGGTATGTTTTTTCAGAAGAAAAAAAATTTTGAACTTCATATTTTAAACAGTATTACAAAAATTAAAAAATTCCAGGGCTGGGGCTGTGGCTCAGCAGTGGAGCACTCACCTAGCATGTGCGAGTCCCTGGGTTTGATCCTCAGCACCACATAAAAATCAATAAATAAAGGTTAAAAAATTATTTTAAAAAAAGTTTAAAAAAATTTTTAAAATTCCGACAGAATATCAGATTTTGAAACAAATTTCTACATCTTGGTACATGGTCTAATGTCTGAGTATAAAATTATAGTATTATAACTCATTTTATTGTATATGAAACTCTAGTATAAACTCTAGAAAATTCAAGAAAAATGCATTTGAAAATTTATTTTCCAAAAGCTCAAAATCCACTTTGATGCTCTTTTATGCATAAAAGATTATAAAATCAAATTAATAAATAAAATCATATTTTCCTATTCACATCTTTAAGAAAAGTATCACTATATTTTAATAAACATGCTGAGCAGAGCTTTTGGCCTAGTTTAATTGCTGAGGACAGTGAATCTAATATTTAATGCTCATTTATTTAAATTGCTGCCACTCTTGTTAGGGTAGTCCTGTTGTGCTAAAACATTACCAGAGTGTCTCTTAAATCAGCTAATCATATTCTAGGAGCCAGGCCATCACACTGAGGGTGACTTGGTATACACATTAGAGGTGGGTGGCTAATATATCTCATTTATCACTTTGTTATTCTCCTAAACAGTGTAGAAATGAATGGTTTAAAAAGTGACTTTAGGGACTCGGGTTATAGCTCAGTGGTACAGTGCTTGCCTAGTATGTGTAAGGCCCTGGGTTCGATCCTCAGCACCACATAAAGATAATAAGTAAAATAAAGGCACTGTATAAATCTACAACTGAAAAAAAATAAAGTGATTTTAGAAGTTTTTTAAAAGGAAACAATTCTTTCCGCCACACTTATTCAGCATAGCCCAATATGGCTTAGCAGCCACATTTGAAATAGTAACTTTTGCTATTTTACTTTGTTCCTTAACTTAAAAAGTAACCAGAAAGGCAAACCCCCTGAAACTGAAGTCATTTTCACAGAATACCATTCAAAGTTTCATTTTTTATATTTACCCTCAGCATTGATCTGAGGTTCAAACCGCTCCATCGTGACAGCTGACAAATCCTCAGGTTCAAGACTCCAAACGCCAACTCCTTCTGCAGCCCCTGCTGCCATTGCAGCACCGAGTGCAGTTGTTTCAGGCATGGAGGGCTTCACTGAGGGGCGAAAGATACATCAACAGTTTTGCAGTTATATATGCCTAAGTTCTTCCAAAGGAACCATTACTCCTGGAGTTAAAGGAATGAAGACTTACTAACCTACTGGAATATACAGGATGTCCGCTTGCAGCTGCATAAGAATTTTGTTGCTGGTCATTCCTCCATCTACCTGCAAATGGCTGAGTGGAATTCCACAGTCGCGATTCATGGCATCCAAAATCTTAAATAAACCAATGCAATTAACATTATGAAACTACTTCATAGTAACATCTATGAAAATAGCAATCCTCCACTCAAAAACCCTAAGGAACTTTCTGAAACCTACAATATGAAATTGAGATATCTTATATTCATTTTCCAAGCCCTCCTTGATCTGGTCACAGTCAATCTTTTCTCTCATTTTATCTCTGCACTATGATATTCAGCAAGCCATATGATTCTGTTCTGCACCCTGGTTTCCTGGCTTGATAAGTCTATGTCTGTGTTGTCTCCTCTGTTTACTATGTAGCACTCAGACTCCCTGAAATTATAAAATGCCTAGTAATAAAAGCTGGGAAACGGGGGGAAACATTTATATTTGTTTATACTAGTTCTGTTTTTTTATTAAGTATACTTTTGGCATTTAACAAATTTCAGGCATTAATATATCATTTTAAAATTCATAATAGAGGATAATTTACAAGAAAACAGGCCAATATTTATTACCTCTCGGGTTTGAAAACAAACAGCTTCTAGTGCAGCAAAAGCGATATGGCATTTATTGGTGAATTGAGTAAGTCCACAGATTATCCTAAAAATACACAAAACATTTTCAGATTAAAGTGTTATGAATAAGTCATCCATTTGAAATGTCCCAAATATGCAAAGAGTGAATTTGGTGAACAGAAACATTCAGAGAAAGAAAATTCAACATAATCATAAAATAACTTGGAAAGTCTTTATAGTACACAATCCTGCATTCACATATGGAAAAGTTCATGAGCCATCTAAATAGATGACAGTAAGGCAAAATCAAATCTATATTCATTTAGATGATGGCCCTTTGCTATACAACTTGTAGATACCATGAAGAAAAAGGATAACAGTATTATCATGAATATGAATATAGCAGAAGCTATAGTATACTGATTTATAACTTTTTGTAGTTTAAGGTTCTGAAGTTAGAGTCTCCAAACAGGAAAGGTTTTCTTAACATTTTAAAATCATGAAAATAGGAAACTAGGGCTGGGGATGTGGCTCAAGCGTAGCGCGCTCGCCTGGCATGCGTGCAGCCCGGGTTCGATCCTCAGCACCACATACAAACAAAGATGTTGTGTCCGCCGAAAACTAAAATAAATAAATAAATAAAAATTCTCTCTCTCTCTTAAAAAAATTAATTTAAAAGAAAATAGGAAACTGTTAACTAATTTGTTAAAAGAAACAAAACACCAAAAAGTAGAACATATTGTCAATACTTACCTTCTTTATTTTCTAATTGATAATAGTTTTACGTATTTGTGGAGTATAGTGTGGTATTTCAATATATACACACAATATGTGATGATCAAATCAGGATGCTTAGCATATATATCACCTCAAATGTTTATCATTTCTCTCCGTTGGGAACATTCAAAATCCTCTCTTCTAGTTATTTTGACATACATAGTAAATTATTGTTAACTATAGCAATACTTACCCTCTTGCACTAGGTTCCCAATAAGGTGCATATAACCCTGAAAATGCCGGAACAAAGTAGCAGCCATAAGAAGTACCTACTTCTTTAGCGAGTTTTTCTAATAGTTAAAAGAAAAAGAAAAAGATCAAAAATCACACAAATATCCTACATTTTGAATAAATATACCTATTTTCAAAATTATTTCAGGGTTTTGGTTTCCAATTCATTGGGATAGCCAAATGTTCCTAATTATAGAAGTATGTTAGGAGCAACAAAAAGTTTTTTTACACTGAAACCCCTCCCCCACTAAAATATAACCCAGCTCAAGAAATCAAGGAACTGGATTCATTTCCTTAAGGTATTTTAGCTCTTTTCTATTTTTTTTTTAAGGTTGCTGATTAAAAGATGAAGAAGTGGCCTCTTCTGTGCCTAAATATTTCTGATTGTCTATACAAGTGTCTATACAAGTGGAGAGTGAGTAGCTAAGTTCAAACTAATTACTCATCAATTGACTATAACCATATTAGTAAAGAGTTTTAATGTTCACTGTAATCTAGTGGTTAAAGCTCTTTTTTGGGGTGGGGAGGGTGCTGGGATTGAACTCAGGAGCACTCGCCCACTAACCTGCATCCCCAACCTATTTTGTATTTTCCTGTCTCACCAAGTTGCTTACCATCTAGTTTTTGCTGATGCTGGCTTTAAGCTCACAATTCTCCTATCTCAGACTCTCCAGCCACTGGGATTACAGGCATGTGTCACAGCACACAGCTAAAGTTCTTTCTTATCAGATAAATGTAAATAGACTGCTTTACCTGCAAATTTGGGCGATCTCTGGTGTTTGATTTTACATTTGGGTAATTTTTATGCCCTCCCTTTCCATTTCCAGTTTATTAATAACTACTGCTAACTACATCAATTTGTTGTTTAAGAAACCTTCACAATATAGTTTAAGTCAAATCTATAATAGGGGCCCACCTCACTTATAGAACATCTGTGTGGCAATGCAATCTATGCAGAGATAAAATATTAGAAGTTTTCATTTTTCAGATTTTCTAACCTGTTGTTAGAACATACTCACCAATTTCCTCTGAGGACTTGATAATACCAAGATTGTCTCGTAGCCAGCGAATAACAGCTCCAGCTATAGCTACAGAACCCTGAGGGAAAAAAGAAATCCAAGACAGAATATACGTTAGCACTACAAAGCATTTTTATTGACCCTATTCTCTGTATATGGCACTAGCAAATGGATAAATTCCAAGCAATTCAACCTTGGGAATCCCATAAATATAATAAATTAGGTCTTCTAATATGAATATAGTACTTCTAATATAAATATAGTTCACTAATAAAAGTTTTTCATGGGATAGGGAAAAATGAGCCCTCCAGATACCCTTGGACCTGTCCCCTGTTGAATCTTTTAAGCAGTTTGATTCTTTTACCATTTTTATTTGTTGCTAAGCTACTGAGGCATGCTATCATCTAGAGTAAATTTCCATTTTATTCACAAAGTTATTGGGAGAGGCCGCATTAAGTTTCTTCAATCTGGGTACAATGATGCATGCCTATAATCCCAGCTATTCTGGAGGCTGAGGCAGGAGGACTGACTGGCCAGCCTGGCAATTTAGAGATCCTGTCTCAAAATAAAAGAAAATAAAATAGCTGGGCATAGTGGCACATACCTATAATCCCAGCAACTCAAGAGGCTAATATAAGAGGATCGTGAGTTCAAGGTCAGCCTCAGCAACTTAGCAAGGCACTAAGCAATTCAATGAGAACCAGTCTCTAAATAAAATATTTAAAAGGGCTGGGGATGTGACTCAGAGGTTAAGTGCCCCTGGGTTCAATCCTCAGTACCAAAATAGATAGATTGATAGATAGGCTTGGGATGTAGCTTAGTGGTAGAGTGTCACTGGGTTCATTCCCCAGTACTGTCAAAATAAGTTTCTTCAAATCCATTTTCCACATCCAATAGCATATAAAAATCAAGCAAAAAGCTGGTCATGGTGGTGGATGTAAAATCCCAGTGATTTGAGAGGCTGAGACAGGGAGCAGAAGTTCAAGGCCAGCCTAAGAAATTTAGTGAAACCCTCAGCAACTTAGCAAGGCCCTATCTCAAAATTAAAAAAAAAAAAAAAATCCTAGTATGCATGAAGCCCTGAGTCCAATCCCTAGCACTGCAAAAATAATTTTTTTATTATTTTTGGACTGGGGATGTATTTCAGTGGCAAAGCACCCTTGGGTTCAATATTTAATACCCCCCAAAGAAGTTTAACAAAGACACTAGCTCCAAAGTAATTATTCTTTAAGACCAATCAATCACCAATGGATTTGGAGGTAGGGACTGTGTCACAAGGATGAAAAATACAATTCAGAGTCAGATAAAATGAGTTTGAGTCCCATTTCTAGAACTTAACTTCTGTGTAATCTTAGACAAATTATTTAGGCTTTCTGAGCTTCTTTCCTTCCTTTTTTCTGTGCTATACTCCCAGCCTCTTTTTTGAGACAAGGTCTTGCTAAATTGCCTGTGCTGGGGCTAGGGTTGTAGCTCAGTGGTAGAGCATTTGCCTCACACTTGTGAGTCACTGGGTTCAGTCCTCAGCACCACATAAAAATGAATAAGTAAATGAAATATCTATTATGTCCATCTACAACTAAAATATTTTTTTAAAAATTGCCTGTGTTGGCCTTGAATTATGATCCTTCTGTCTCAGTGTTCTGAGTTGCTAGGATTATAGGTGTGTATCTTTGCACCCAGCTCTGCACTTCATTTCTTTACATGTAAAATGACAGTGACTATCACAATATGTACTTAAACAAAATTACTGTAAGGCTCAGTATGAGAATACATGTAAAGGTTCTTAATGTAAAAATATTAACTTTGTTAATTTCTTTTTTTAGTTGTTGATAGACCTTTATTTTTCTTCATATGTGGTGCTGAGAATCAAACCCCGTGCCTCACATGATAGGCAAGTACTCTATCACTGAAGCTACAACCCCAGCCCTAACTTTGTTAAAGTGTTCAATAAATATCAGCTAGGGGTGTAACTCAATGCCTACCATGTATAAGGTTCCAAGTTCAATTCCTAATATCACCAAAAAATATATTTATATAACAGATATATCAGCCAAATTCCATCAACAGATGAATGGATAAAAATGTGAAACAATAACACTATGTAATATTATTTGTCCAGTAAAATGAATGAAGTACAACAATGGGGAAGCCTTGAAAACATGCAAAGTAAAAGAAACCAGGTATAAAATATCATGTACTGCATGACTCCATTTATATGAAATATCTGGCATAGGCAAAGCCATAGAGACAGAAAGATCAGTAGTTGTTTAGGGTAAAGGTTGGCAGTTATGGGGTTTCTCTTGAGGATAATGAAAAGTTTTAAAGTTGGACTGTGATGATGGTTGTAAAAATCTGTGAATATTCTAAAAATCAGTAACTTATATACTTCTAAGGAGTAAATTTTGTGGAATGTGAATTAAATCTCAATGAAACTACTATAGGGCTGGGGTTGTAGCTCAGTGGTAGAATATTTGCCTTGCACATGTGAAGCACTAGGTTCAATCCTCAGCACCACATAAAAATAAAATAAAGGTATTATGTCCATCTATAGCTAAAAAAATTAAAACTATTATAAAAAAGACATTAAGGTCAGAAAAAGTATCAGCGTGAATCAACAGGAATTTTTAAAAATATTTTGCTCTGATGATATAGATTTTCAATGTAAATTACTACCACTGAGTCACTCCAAATCAAATGTCACATGATATTAAATGTAGAAACCTGTCAGTTCAATTAACTGAATTACAAATGTCATCCCTTCTTGTTGTCATTTTTCAAGATATATACAAATCAGAGGATGAATGTACTGATAAAGTTCTTCATTCATACATTCTATGAGAAGTCACTATATGTTACTACAAAGCCACAGAATACCATAACTGTTCTATTTATACAATGGCTTTTTAACTACAAATAATTATATGTGGAGCATATTTACATAACAGTACAAAGATAATGAAGCTTTAAAACTGGGACTGGGCTGCGGTGCAACTCAGTGATAGAGTGCTTATCCATGAATAAGTGCCAGGGTTCCATCCCCAGCATGGCAAAAACAAAACAAAACACCTTCCTCCCAGTAAAAAAAAAAAAAAAAAAAAAAAAAACAAGGGGGCAGGACAAAAGCAATTCAATTAAGTAGCAACCTTAAACCTTAACCTACTTCACTACTCCCAGTGAATCTTATTAGTACATTTCCCATCTTTGATATGTTTACATTTAGACACGTAGAGGGACTATTCAGGAGTACTAAGTAAAAATTTTTTTAGAGAGACTTTACCTTTGGATTTCCTTTGGAGCAGACAATTCAAAGATAGTAGCTGTCAAATACTACTAGTCTGGTGTTATCCAATGAAATATAATGAGAACCATAGGTAAATTTTTACAACATTAAAAAAAAAAACTAAACATCTGGGTGCAGTGGTATATGCCTATAATCCTAGTGACTTGAGAAGCTGAGGCAGGAGGATTGCAAGGTCAAGACAAAATTACTGAGATATTTTATTTTTTGTACTATGTCTGAAATCTGGTAAATATTTTAAATTTACAGTACATCTCAATTCAAACTAGCCACATTACCAATACCCAATAGCCAGATATGGCTAGTGGCTACCATATTAGGCAGCACAGTTCTAGACCTCATTCATAAAACAAACGTCTTTTCCCTTTCTGCTCTCAAAAGACACTGTGCATAACTTGGATCTAACCAAGAAACATATATTTTCAATAGTTTAAGGCAAGTACAGTGAATTTTGAACTAAATTCAACTATGAATTTTTTAAAGTTACTTTGCTAGAAGTCTAGCAGGGTGATTCTATGCCTATTAGCTAGTGGAAAACTTTGGGAAACCAAGTGCTGATATACCATATTTCCATTGAAAATGGTAGAATACTATGTACTTGAGACATTTTTTAAAAAAGAGGAAGCAATATGGCTTTAGCAAAATGAAAATCAAGGTTTTGATTATCGGTTGACAAGCAGAGAGCATTACTTTGACTTAAAACAAAAGAAACAAAATACAAAGCCACTGCCAAGACTTCAGAAGAAAAGTGTTAAATTTGGTCATCAGGAGATATAGAAGTATTGTGCTGTAATCAAAGAAATAGAGTGAATATAAGAAAATAAAATATAGATTAAAAACACTGATCTGAAAGAAGTATAAAATTTTGGTATCAGGATATAATACACAGTGTGGTTTAGCTTTTACAGAAATTACTAAAAATGAGAGAAACCTCTAAATTCACACAAAAAATGTAGTTTTCTGAAATCAGAGGCAGGGGATAAAGTGAAAGGTATAAAATTTTGAAGCTGGACAAGAAAACAGAAACAGAAACCTAAAATGATATGATAGAATGTAACTGTCCACTTTGTTATCAATTAAGTTACCACAAAGCTAAAATATAAAAATCCAATACTTTGGTGCACTATCTACAAAAATGAAGCAGCCCTAGTTATGAGTCTTGACCCCCTGGGAAACATGCACGCAATTGTTGTACTCTAAGGAAGACACAATGGAACCGAGAGGGTATAATGAAGAATAAATTAAATGATATGAGGAATAAATTATGTAAAAATTAGACAATGTAGTCTGGAAAATGAAAGGCTATGGGAAGACTAGATTAAAAATAATCAAATAGCGGGGCTGGGACTGTGGCTCAGTGGTAGAGAGCTTGCCTAGCATGCTTGGGGCCCTGAGTTTGCTCCTCAGCACCACATAAAAAATAAGTGAATGAAATAAAGGTATTGGGTCCAACTACAACTAAAAAATTTTTAAAAAATCAAGTAGCACTGATGTAACATCATAGCAAGTGCATGAACTCTTCCTCCAAAATTCCTTGACATGAATGCCACTGTCACAACAGTATATGTACAAAGGAGAATACTTCAGAATGCGCTAGACTTGCATCTCAAAAGGCAGTTGGTGAGAGTGGAGATAATAATGTAAAATCAAGATTATCATTAAAATTGTTTAAAACCACTCATTAGGCATGGTAAACACAATTTTGTGCATACTGCAGTACAATGTATCCTACATGTATAATTTATACTGTACTTAATTTGTATATATTAGATTACAAATGC